GAGTGAATTTCTGGAAGTTTTTGACGAAGAAAGAAAATAGAAGAAACAGTTGGATATAGATTTGTGATGAAATAATGAAAATAGACAAAATGGGAATAAAGAAAGAAAGAATAAAAGAAAGAAAGTGAAAAGGAGAAGGAAAAATGTCAGATATTCCAGGAAGCAAAAGTGAGGGAAAAGAGGGAAAAATGAAACGAAAAAAACAAGCAAAGAATGAAGGAAGAAAGAAAAACAGAAAGGATAAAAAACAATCAGAAAATAAGAAAGAATAAAAGAAAGAAAGACAGAAAGGAAAAAAGAAAGGGAAAAAGAAGGAAACAATAGAAAGAAGAAAGAAAAAACAAAAAAGACAGAACGAAAGATGGATAAATAATTGGTGGTTGTCATTCTTACAAGATCAAGTAAAAATCTTTAGTAACAATTTATATTATTATGTATATACCAAACATTATAATATTTATGTTAATATTTATATTATATAATATTTTATATTTATTTTATATATTTATTTTATTATATTTATATTATATATTATATTTATTTATATATGTATGTAATTATATATATTTATAAATTATATTCATATAATCATATATACTTATATTGTCATATTTATATTATATAAATTTATATAATATTTATATTACCATTATACATATATGAAGCAAATTATATTTCATCTCATATTTATTGGATGCCATTTTGAAGGAAATATATAGAGTGTATCAATTGAATAATGATAATAATTGGTTACATAATTTCAGACAGGCTGATTATCTTCATATTTAAAAAGGTATTTCGAAAATGAAACGTAGTAGAAAATAGAAAGAAGAAGGATTACCTTCAGAAAATGTCGTAACTTTACTTCTTCCAATGAGAGCGGCTTTTTCAAGAAATTGTCCTGACGAGAATACGGAACCGGCGCGAAAAGAAAACAGAGGACCCGCCCTAACGCTTGCAGCGGCCGCTGCAGCACAGCAGTACATAAAAGGGGTGGTTGGTCGGGTGTTATAACCCGAAGTGACCCGGATGAACATAGGTGAAGCAGCATGGGGATCAGGGACGCACATGGGCGGCAGGAAATGCAGGTTAACGTTCATTGAATTGGAACTTTGGCGTGATATGTCCGTGCACCTTTTGGGATAGAGGTCTTCCCTTATTTTGTCGCTGACCCGGTGTTGACTGTTGACCTCATCAGAGGTCGTTACTGTCATTTCGCGTTTTGGGGAAACCATCAGGCCTTCTGTGGTGTTAGTTTTTCAATGTTTACTCAATCAAAGGTTATAAACAAGTTTGTATTAAGGTTTGTTATTCAGGTTATATATTCATCTTAAAATTTAATTTATAATCTAATTATAATTATTTATATATCTAATTATAATTATAATCTATGTCATATGCAAGAAGACGAACAATACAGGATGAATTGCAGAGTAAGTGTAATTTCTATTAGAGGAAATCTAATATTTTCGTTAAAAGTTATCTAAATTAGAATTTCCCTGTAGGTGTTACGTGACACTGGGTCTGGTTTAACTAACTAACATTAAATAAACAAGGAAGAAAAACGCTTAATATTTAGCTTAAAATTTTTTGTCAAATTTCATGTGAAACTTATCTGTGTATTTTATATGAATTTAATGCTGTCACTGTTTTCAAATGATAAATAAAATTGCTTGTCAGTAGTAAAAGATCAATGTAATTTTTTGGTTATTTTTCGTTGTTGATGTTCAAAGGTATAGATATCTTGATATCGTTGTTCGACGTTTGTGTTTACATCCTCGAATAAACAGTGTTAAAATCATTTTTGTTGAACACACTAAGAATTGACTGAATTGCATCATTCACTGACAGTTATTTCCAAAAGAAATTATTAAACTAATATTCCATGTATGATTTTCTTTTTTCCGTCGTTTTAAGCATACACATTTTAGTGCAGATTAAATATTATTTGCAACTCTGTGTCTGAATTTCGCTTTTATCTGACATTTGAAAATAAATTAAGAATTAAAAATAAATTAAAGCGAGTGAATTTTCAACAGAATTTAAACCAAAACTTTAACTATTCATATACAAGAAACTAGATTCCGTATCAATATTTTAAAAGTTAGTTTTACAACAAAAGATTAAGTGAACAATAGCTTTGTGGAGTTTCTCTAAATAAAGATCCTTGTCTGATTTAGTAATTTTGAAATTGATAATATTCTGAAAATATTTAATAATTGATTTAAGAAATTGTCAAATCAGAATTAAGCTTAACGAGAAATCAAGCAACTTATCAAATATTAAGCGTCTATGTTTCTTGTTTAAATTTCAAACACATCATTAGAGAAGATTAACTTGAAATACTTCAGCGTTTCAGTTGTGTGATTATAAGTTGAGCAAAAGAAAGACAATCGCTCATTTTGAGCTTTATGACGAAGACAATTATTTCAAAACTTTAAATCGTTTGAAATGATCCACGTTTACTCAGTTCACCTTGCTTTCTTTGTAATTTATCTTAATTTATTTATTGAGCAAAGATGTCCATTTTTTCTTGTAATAAAATTCACTCGTTACAAAACGCTTAAACTTTCAACACTAAAGCAGAAGCAACAAAATTTCTTTTAATTCTTTCTAATTTTGCCTAGATAAGAATATTCATCATTTATATTTAGTCAGAAGTGTATGGAAAACTTTGGAAACCTTTAATATATTATAAAAGTGTATTAACGTATTTTGATATATTTGCAGAAGTGTTGTTATGTTTCAGTGAGTTTGCATGCATTCTTAAAATCATTGTGTAGCAATGTTTGCTGATATTGTCTATGAAAGTGTTCATACTTGTGTAAATTAAGTAGAGTGTAAATCACTTTTCATTTCCTAGACTCCACAGGTAATTTTGTTGATCATAACTCCGGTGGGAAACTTGAAAGTATTATAAAAATGTTGATGCATTTGTATCAGATGAGCCGGAACTGTAACATAAATAACAGCGGATAAAATACACAAAAAGCAAAAAAGTGGCTACTGTTCGAAGTTTTCCAAACTTTTTCGTACGGATAGGTAGACGTAATCCTATTTTGAGGAAATTGAAATGTTTCTTTTTAAAAATTATCCAGTTCAGAATTTTGCAGATGTTTCATAACAGGTGTTTTTTTTTTCTTGTCTATCACACTTAAAGATTAGTGTGTAAAATCAGAGCTACCGATGTTGAATAAACAAGGAATAGGTTGATATATTGTTTTGGAAAAGAGTCATGAAATTCTACTCCTTCCGTTAAGAAGTGGCCAGTGGAAAAGGCTGTAACCTCTCATCTGTTTTTATATCGACTTCGGATTTCAACTTTTCTGTAAAACGCTCATATTCCTTTCACCTTTCCCGCCGTCTCCGCCCTCACATTTTCATAATAAGCGCGCTCCACCTTTGTTTGCCTGGCTTTTTACTTTTGCCGAAGGATCAACGATAAGAAGATAATGCTATTCGCTCTTTTGTTACATTGAATTTCTTAAGAAAGAGAATTTAAGCAAGATGGAAACATAAGAGGAGGAGGTGGAGGATGAAATGAAAAGAAAGAGAAGCCGGAAGAAGATAAACAAGTTCAGTGTAAGTTGAAGAAATAGAAGACAAAAGAAAATAAAAGAGTAGGAGGAGAAAGAAATCTTCCGGGACGCACAATAGATGATTATGCACACAATACAAGTTATTTGCTGCAGAGACAACGCTACACCACGCCGCTTCTTTATTCAATAATGGCCTTACAGTCGGCAAAGCAGGCCAGGCGGCCAACCGTGGACGACTTCTCTGCAAAAAGCTCTCTCCTGATTATCTACCGTCCTAGCATGACCAAAGTTGAGGAACGCCATCGGCTCTGGGACTCGTTCTTGGACACTCTTGCCAAAGTAGTGCCCTTAATAGAGCCTAAGGAAAGAATATCCGGCCGGTTCTCTTGGGATGTGGTACTTTTCTTCCCTGCAGCGATGGAGCAGGAAAAAGGCCCGCGCCCGAGGCGGAAGTGTTCGCTGTCTGTAATAGGGTTGTTATGCACACTGGCAACGCACACAGAATAGACGGTGCCCAGGGAAAAAGATGCGTTAAAGAACGTAGCTAACCCACTAAAACGGATTGTTTCTCTTTCTTTCGATTGCTCTTCTTAATACTTTTCTATTTTCACTTTCATTTTCGCTACGACAAGAAAAAAGATAGAAGAAATATATAGTCCTTTGTTTACATGCGTGATTGTATGTGTGTAAGCATGAATGAATACGTAGAGAGAAGTAAAAAAGATGAAAAATGAAATAGTGAGTAAAGAGCGGGGAATAAGAGAGGCGGAAATCAAAGAGAGAAGAAAAAATAGTAAAAAAAGGAAAATACTGGAGGGAGAGAGGAAGAGAGAAAGAGAGAGGGAAAAAGGAGAGAGAGGACCGCGAAAGTGTTAAAAAGTTCGTGAGGATAATTAAAAAAAATAAAATAAAAAAAAGAAGACAAAGTAATTCTAAGAAATGAAAGAAAATTAATTTTAAGAAAAATAGAGGCGATAAATGTAGGAAAGAAAATGATTTAATATAATAATCAAGAAACCTGAAGAAAGAAATGAAGAAGAAAGCGGTGTGGCGAAAAATGAAATATATTAAAAAAAAAAAAGGAAAAGAGAAGGTAGACAGAAAATCATGAACACGGAAAGAAACAGAAACAGAAATAAAACTATATTCTTACTTACACAAAAAATAAATAATAAAAAACACGAGAAAGAAAAGTGAAGTTATAAGAAAAACAAGAAAAAATAGGAAGAAATCTGAAGCGGAACAAATAAAGAAGTAAGAAGGAAACAATTTTATTAAAGAGAGAATTGTCACAAAAAAAAGAAGACTAAGAAAAAAAGCTTTATAAAATAACGAAAACAACCAAACTTGAAAGAAAAGTGTCTAAAGTTTTTTTTTGTTTTTTTTTTTTAAATAGTAAAAATAAATAAGTAAAAACCAGAAAAGATTGAAAAAGTAAAGAAAAAGAAAAGAGGCAAACATTGATTTAGTTGGTAGCGGTACTGTCGTTTGTCGCCATTATTTACGGGGGAGGAGGTGGAACTGAGAAGAGGAGGAGTCGAATAAAGTTTTCTACCATTTGATTCACTGCACAAGAGAGTTGATCGTATTAAGCGCTAAGTTGTTAAAAGTAACAAGAATTTTCGCTCAGGTCATTTTACAGTTTTGAGCTCCAGGGTTCAATTTTTGAACTCTGGTCACATAACACTGTCCAGTTTCGCGCTCGCGCACACACACACACACCACACACACACACACACACACACACACACACACACACACACACACACACACACAGAGGCATACATATATATGCGTGTAGTGGAGAGATAAAGAGAGCGAGGCAAGAGAACTTAAAGTTAAGACAATTTGCGTAAACTACAATACGAAGTTATGTAAAGCTTCTTAAAGAAAAGTATAGTTTAAGAAAGAAAAATTTTTTTTTTCTCCCAGCCAACAAAAAGAAGAAAGATTTTAGAGATGATAGAGAATAATCGTCATGTGTCAAAGCGCGCCAATTCATTTAAGCTAATTTCCGCCGTGACAAGAGAGTGAAGTTATATCGGAGACAACAGAGGCCGTTTTCTGATTAAGAACATTACAGACTACAATCTCCCTCTTTTATTTGAAGAAGAAATTAAGAAGAAAAAACAAAAAACAAAACAAAAACAACAAAACAACAAAAAAACCTTAACGAACAAAAGTTGAGGATTGTTTTCAGTAATTAATAGACTGAAAGTAAACTTGTTAGCTGTGATTTACTAACATTATTTTCTAAAAGTATGCTTTCCCGGGAGACTTTATTAAAAAAGTAAGCGCTTATGTGAATATATGTGTGTCCAAAAATCTCTGCCTAATGCGTCTGACTGTATGACAACATGAATTTAATTTCATCTTGCGTATGTATGTAGATATGCATTGTTCTTCTATTTGCACGTATATATATATATATATATATATATATATATATATATATATATATAGTATTTATTAAAAAATTATAACATAAATATGTTATAACATCACTACAAAAATAGCCATTTTGTTTCAACACTTCTGGTGTCCTATCAAGTTATGGTGTCGATTGTGAAACCTTATATATATATATATATATATATATATATATATATATATATATATATTACTTAGACGTTATTTTAGTGGATACTCGTATCTGAGTAGACGCAGCGTTTATATGATAACGGTATATTTATTTATTTTCGTCTTCCGGCCCTTAAGCAATAAAAATCTATCTGATTAATAAATAAAAAATCTACACCTTTTTTTCTAACCTGAAGAATAAAATTATTTCAGGTTCATTTTGAACTCTGCTTCTCGAACAAAAAAATGGGTAAAGAATATCTGGCCAAATAAGATAACTCCGTATCTATTAACTGCTAACTACAGAGATGTTTCCATGAGTGCCGTTAGTTTTGAAGAATAAGCAGGGAATATCCTTGACCTGTTTGCATTTTCCTTCGTCAATTATAATTACATACCAGTAGCATAATAATAATAATAATAATAATAATAATAATAATGATAATAATGATAATAAAGTTTACTGAGAATACAAATTTCCTTTTATCTTATTTTGTGGATTTTATTGCAATACTCGTTTCATTTTTTACCAGCGTTAAGCATTCAGTATGGACAGAAAGTATGTCCTCAAGCTCCTAAGATAAAGTATACGAGTTAAAATCTCATTCCAAGTTTATTCTTTACTTTCGAGCTGTGCTTCTTATCTAATGGTCGTAGAATGTAAAACGACTATAAAAATACGATAAAAGCACAAAAAATAATATGAATGAATAGAAAGTTTAATATAAAATTAATAAAGACAATGCTTAAATTAAGAAATTCTAACAACCAGAGACTATTAGGTCAATCTCTAGTCAATATAAACAAACAATATTACCTGGAGTAAAAAAAAAAAAAATAATAATAAGATAATGAAGAATGTACCTATATAAGCATATTTAAATTATATCTGCTGGTTAACTTTTGTAGGTTAATCGGCAAGGTGCAGTGTTATTCAGACAGATTCCCAAGAATTATAAATTTAATAGAATATTGAGATGAACTTGGTTCGTTATTTAGAGATCATGGAATAACTTCAAATATATTGCCATTCATTCAGCATCTGTTCTTTGGGCTTCAAAGAATACGCTTCAACTTTTCACCCGATACAATTACGCCGAAACATAATTGAAGACAAACTCATTTTTACACAAGGTAAAGGCAATGCCATAAACTGTTTGTAGCAGTAACAACCTGGAAAGAACACGAGTAATTCTCCATTTTAATTCATTTTGTATAACACAAAGCTTCTATAGACAATATAAATAAATAGGGTTCACTGTGGCCTTCTAAGGACTAAGGTAAATACTAAAACCGTAAGGTATGTTTTTAATCAATTCACCCAAAGCAAGGCAATAAAGCCACTAAGAAGCAGGGATTACAGAGTGTGAAAGAAGGTAAGAAACCGAGAAATATTAAGGAGCGAGAACAATAAAAGAATATGAATTAAGAGGACAGAAGATATCGATTGACATTGAATTAAAATTTTTGAAAAACAAACTTGTCTGGGAAGCAAGAAGAGAGTTTCACAAGTAAGAAGTGCGAGAAAAAGCTGTTAGCATAGAAATTATGGTTACATCTAGTTATTTTAACAATAAAATGATGAAACCTTGTCACCAATCTAGTACTGCGCTTAATTCATAAAGTCTAGGTATCATAGAGGAAAGTTCATCAAGACAATTACCATGAAGGCACACGGGAGCTACATTACGGTGGTGAAAAAGCGACTGAAGACGAGATGCCAGGTCAGGACCAGCAACATTGCAAATTCTTCTTTGGATTTTATTGAGGATCTCTAAATATATAGCAGGAGCAACAGACCACAAATATTTAAGACAGATGCTAAAATCTTGATAAATACCAAAACCCTGAGATAAATATTAAACCTTAAGATATATACTGAAACCTTAATGGTAATGCAATATTAGCTGTTTAATTAAGTGGAAAAATTCGGCATTCATTGACTGAGCAGCAAGCACCACTATCGGTTAAAATTTACAAAATGTTACTTGAAAAAACTATTTTCAGGAAAATAGGTTTCTCAAGTCGACTAACTGTAGTCGCTCTTTCCAACATTGGTGGAGTCTTCCTTCCTAAGTTTTTGTTCGATGTAAATATTAGATGTACTATCCATTTTAGTTGTTGCTGCTTTTGAAAGTCCTCAAATAATGCGGTTTCTCTTATTTGGTACAGTTCATTGTTTGTGATTCTGTAAAATAAATACTAAAACAATAAAACAGAAGCTAAAAAACTTTCAGATAAATGTTAAAAACTTCAGATAAGTACTAAAACTTTAAAATAGTTACGAAAACCTTAAGATAAATACGAAAAGTTTAAAATAAATACTAAGACCTTAAGATAAATATTAAAACCTTAAGATAAATACTAAAACCTTAATATAGATATTAAAACAATAAGATAAATACGAAAACTTTAAGATAAATACTAAACCCCGAAGATAAATGCTAAAAGTTTAAAGGTCAGCGTAAATTAGAATTGGAAAATCCGCATTAGAAGTGCACTCAGTGAGAATCGATCAAACTAATCATCGTTGTGTATCAGTCGCCCAAAGGCACTAAGATAAATACAAAAACCTTAAATGCAGATATAGATGGGTTTCTTTTTGAGCATATATTGCCATAGAACATGTAACCGTGTTTGGTTTGGTTTGCTTTGGTTTGGTTTATTTTACGGCATATCATGCACAATGGCTTATTTACTGTCAACAAATTTTAATGTTGGCAATATTTTTCTTCATAAATCTATTGCTGGTAATATTTTTTCAGAAAAATTTATTTCTGGCAATATTTTTTCTAGCGGGTAATAAATTTTCTTCAAAAATTTATTGCTGGTAATAATATTTTCACAAAGTATTTCAGGGATTAAACCCATTTTTACACTTTTATAGTGTTTTGACCCCAGTTTGGGGGTTAACTATTTACCCATAGCTGAGATCCTAACAGGTGCTAATACCCCGGGTCAGTATTGAACCTGGAAACACCAGCAATTAAGAGGTAGTTTCACGCTTCTCAAAACCTCCTGATCAGAGGCCTTGCTGTTGGGAGTAGTTTACCGTCTTACCCAGGACGCCGATGTAGTTTATCGTCATACCCAGGACGGGTAACCGTGTTTGGATTTCATATTTAAATAATGTTATTATTGTTTTATGGGTTTATATGTTTGCTTTACATCTTTTACGTGCATATTTGATAAAAAGCGCTTGCAATATTTATTATGCTAAACTTGCAAGCCATTGTTAATGAATTTGTTCCGACTCAATGATTTTATTAAGGTATAATATACATTCATGTTCATAAAACGAGATTCTGAAAAGTCGCCTGAAAATAAAGACCCTCTTCTTTAAAATAAAAATAAAACATGAGATAAGCAGTTCTCGGTTGTGGCTTCCATTTATTCATCGTTTTCTGCATACAGTACGGAAGTTGCAGGCAAAAGTAAAACACTGAAAAATCATAACAAGAAAAAAAAGATTCAAAAAAATATATATGTAACATAAAAGCTTTTCATCTAATGATGGAGTAACATTAAAAACAAGTCGGCATTAATTAAGTATACAAAACCGTATACAACAGAAAGTACCGAGAAAGTATATTAACAATAGTGGCTGAGATTGGCTAAGAGTACTTTAAGTAATTGGTAAATAGTATAATTCAGTATATATATATATATATATATATATATATATATATATATATATATATATATATGTATATATGTGTGTAAAAAAGGCAGGATGTGTGTGTGTAACGAATGCACGGCCGCAATTTTCGACGGATTTGCACCAAAATTTACATGCACATGCTCCAAGTTAGTGGGAAGGCCAAGACCGCCTTTGCATTTCCCAACTCCAATCGATTGTGGAAATAATCGATTTTTTCATG